GACAGATATCTTAACCTCTAAAATCTCGAACTTTAACGCTCAATATCTCGGCTCACAGGGCAGAGCGACACTTTTTTTTGCCAGATTCTTTCATTTCATTCAATAACGCATCGAATAAGCCTATTTTTATTGATTTTTGAGGTGGGGTAGCTAAACTGAATAATTACCAAATATAAATGGGCCTTAGGAGTCAGCGCTGGATATTATATTACGCAATGCTGATTAATACCTATTAATGTGTCATTTATGGTAAATATTTATTATTATTCATTTTTTGAAATGTTATATAAATAGTTCATATATTTTTTATATAAAGCTTTATTCAAAATATTATTAAAATATAGACTAAATATTTTATAATATTTATGATAAATATAAATAAATATTTCTAATAAGTATTTTTTACTTGTATTAGAATGTGCTATTAAGTATTTTCGTAGCATTTACTACAACATTTGTAATAAATATTCCATATCATTTATAATAATGTTTTTAATCTGCGTAATCCAAGACTACAAAAATATTTATAAATATTATGTGCTATCTGGAATTTTACATATTTTAAATAATAGATACTACAATACATCTGCCTTTTACAGTATAGTCATGGGAGTTTAGGAGGAGGGGACAAAGGGGGGCATTTACCTCCCCCTGGTCGAGAGACTCGTGTTGAATAAAAGCGCGTTTTAGAGTGATTAGATATAGTAAAATGATAGACAAATTTGGGCACGGCGAAAAGAAATTAGTTTTTTTGTTTGAGGAAAGTGAAAAAATGTAAAATTAATAGAGAATAAAAAAAGTGTTAAAAAATAAATACGGCAAAAAATTTTTAAATACAAAAGTACAAAAAAAATAAAAAACCTAAAAAAATGAAATACCTTTTTCAACATACATCTATATACCTTGTCGTGGTGAGGAGGCTTTTAACTAAAGATGTGAACATTAGAAATGAGAGAGAATAAGTGACAAAAAAGATCATTAACTCGATACTAGGATCACCAAGGAAGGAAATATTTGAACATTTTTTTCTTACGTGAGACAAGACTGTTCCTCCTTGAAAAAAAAATCCTACGGACGCCCGTGACAGTGGTCATTATTTAGCATGATGGTTTAAATCAAATATGCATGATAAAATTGTAAATAAATATCTAAAAATATAATTGTTGTTTTGTTAATTATTCGCGCAATATATATTCGGTCGAATAAGTATTTTTATATACATATATTCATATAAATACCTTATATTATCTATTATAAAATGTTACTAAAATTTTGTTAATACGATACATCAGCAATATGTATTCTCTCATGTTACATTAAGCATTTTTATCTAATCTGGTGTAAAAATTATCACAAGTATTAAATATCAAATATTATAACTACGAGAGAGAGAGAGAGAGAGAGAGAAATAAATCCACATAAAAAATTATTCTGTCCCTCGAAATTATTTACTAAAAAATTAATATTATTCTTTTGTTCCATTGATAAAAAACTACTAAATAAAAAATTAAGGCAAAATTGGCACATTACACTATACATATATAGAAAATAAATACGATTAGTAATCATTAACGTGTTTTATGTATAATAAAATGAATAAAAAATTCACAACATAAATCAAAATATCTTTTGGCCTTTTTCATGCATCCATAAAACGAAAATTCCATTCGATCAAGAGCATCTTTAAATGAAAGTACCGATTAAAATTGAATTGATAGTAGACATTCAGAGTAGCATGACTAAATAAATTCTATTATGATATATTAAAAGATGAATGATATATTAAGAGAATGATACATTAAAAGAAAAAAAATATCTATCTGGTAAAGGATTGTTATATGAAATTGTACTATATTTTCATCAAATTAGATTATTACAAATAAACAAGTAATCATATATATGCTACGATACATTTTGCAAGAAATCGGAGATCAACTCGGAGTTTCTACTTCGATATATCAGAAATCTGTGTCATAATAATTACTTCTCTTTTTTTACCTTCACATAAATATCTATACAATTCAGAATTATATCTTCATATAAATTTCTAATTAATAAATGATTATATCATTATACGTAACAAAAGAAGATAACATAATATGAGATTCCGATAACGAGAGATCAATTATGTCAGATCTAAAAATTACTAGCTGCACAATTGTGATATCAAAACTACGCGATAAAGATATCCGTATTTGTGTACGTAAACTTTAAAGACAAAACTAATGAGATTCCACTCGTTAAAGACTCATTACGTTCTGGACGGAATAACAGGTGTGCTTAGTCAGAATGTCAGTAATGCATATGCAATGACAAACCGTTAAAATTAGATTCCCATTAGATTACGTTTTGTCATTCGATAAATATTCGCTTTAACGATGTTATCTCATTTCAATCAAAACCTATTGCAAATTAATATTCATATGATCTGGCATGTGATATCGAGTACGATCCATTCAAATAAAAAAAAATATATATATATATAAAATCAATATCATCGTTAAAAGCGGATAAAAATCCCATTTACACATGAGATTATAAAAAATATATCAGTGCGCATAAAGGAAAAACTTGCACGCTTTTAAAAATTGTACTGATCATTCTTATTAGCGTCCCCGTATTAATTATTCAATATTAAGGCACGAGAATAACAGCATTTATCTATTTTTAGTTCTTATTAAATTATCTTTTATAATTAATTCGTATTTTACTCATATATATGAATTGTGGAAACCAACAAGTGTAACAATTTTATTATTGACTTTATGTTTTTTGTACGAAATCGTGAGTTAAAACTGAAATGCCCTTGTTCGTTCTCATTACACAGTCATCAAAATATAAAAGCTTACCACTTATCGTAAAATTTTGGCAAATAAAAATTCAACAGACTGCTAAATTATTCCTACATATTTTAACCTACATGTACGTGATTGTGCTGTGACACAAAGGGCAGGCATTTATATTAACAACGTCGCGTTCGGTTGCAACATGATGTCGGCAAACGGTGCAGATCCACGCGATGCTGAGATCCATCAGCGGTTTGCCCGAGACGATGCAAGCGGGGAACCTGGTTGAACAATTCGGGCACGTGGTGCACCAGTCAGGTACCAGAGTTTCGCAGTTGACGCATTCCGCTTTGTTGTTACGGGAGTCCTTCGGAGTGTGCTTCGTAAAGATATCCACCGCTAGTTCCTCATACTCCTCTTTCTTCGCCTCCGAGATCGTCTCGAGCCCTTCCAATTTTATGAAAGCCTTTGAACAGGTAGCGAATGCGTGATTAACAGCGCTTGATAGCGCCAATAGACAGTAGATGTCTTCTACTTCCAGTATATCCTCGTAGTCTCTCAGTCGCAGAGCGGTCTTCATCGCGGCATCGAAACTGCCGTCGTACAACTGTCTATGCGCGAGCAGAAGGAAATGATACGCCTCAGCGCCTCGCCAGGCGTTTTCTATAATCTTGGTGTCCTCGTTGCTTTCAGTAAGACCCATGACGACGTTGCTGCGACCACCTTTTATTGCAGGAACGCTATTGATGTGATCCTCAATCAGCAAGGCCGCGAGAACGTATATTTTCTTAACGCGCAGAGGATGCGACTTGGACTTAGCTTGTTCCTCGGCAAGATGAAACAATAATTTAGCCGCTTCCAAGTTGTAGTTGGCCTTCTTGTACAACTCAATTGCCTGCAGATGCTTACCGTTCGATAATAGATGATTGGCGTATTTGCTCAGCAGCTCGCCGATCTGTGCCATCTTGTAGGTTTTCGCCAGGTCGACAGCTTGGTCCCAGTGATTCAGACGCACGCATATATCTACGGCCAGCTTTACGTCGCCGTATTTAATGTAAGCTGCCACAGCCTGCGGACACATTCCCACCGAAGCTAGCATTCTCGCTACGGTCTTCAAGATGGGACTCTTGTCTGGTAATTGGTCCACGGTTGTCGCTAGCTGAACGAAATCTTCTAATTTATAATAGCATTGAATGAGTCGTTCCAAATTTCTACCTTTCTCGTAGTACTCTTTTGCATTCTCCCAGTTCTGTCTCTCGGCAAAATAATCACCGATCTTGTTATAAGCGTGCTCCATTTGTTTATCCGAACCGCCAATGCCCATTTTCATCAATTGCACAACCCGAAAATAATCGCCCAGCTTTTGGCGCAGGGTAACTGCCAGGTCTCTCCTGTCCATGTCCAGGTAAAGCTTCTCGGCCTCGTCGTAGTTACCAAGAAACGCTGCGACTTCGGCCTTCTTCAGCTGATCGTTGTGCACGTTCTGCAAACGCTTG